GCGCGCTGCCGACTTTGGGTTTTGGGTCATAGCTCGGGTCTTCCGCGGCCGTCCAGGGCGATCCCAGCACCCTCGGAACGCTCTCGGCGAGGCGCAGCCGCTGGAACGCATCCCGAGGCTGAAAAACCGCCGAGGACCGACGCGAATCTCCGAAAACCTCCACACACCTCGAGTCCCCAAAGTGTTGTTTTTTATTCATTGTTTTGCCGATCGGCGTGGGCCCCCCCCCTCCCCCCCTCCCTGAAGTAGATCTTGGCTGTTTTTGGAGCTTGTTTCGAGCATGCAAATCTATGGCACCACCCCCTTTCAGCTGGACCCCCTGTTGGGTCGACCAAAGACACGCCGAATAACAGAAATGCTTATAAACTCCATCGTGACAGCTTTTCGCCTCCTCCGCCTCCTCCGCCTCCGCCTCCGCCTCCTCCTCCTCCTCCTCCTCCTCCTCCTCCTCCTCCTCCTCCTCCTCCTCCTCCTCCTCCTCCTCCCCCTCCCCCTGCTCTCTTGTCCGCCCTCTGCCCGTCGTGCGCCCTCCCCTCTCCCAGTCATTCCTGCCCCTCCTCGTCGCCACTCCTCCTCCTCCCCCCACCTTTGCCACCAGGGCCCCCCCTTTTGCCCCCCTCCCTCGCCGCCGAAGAGAATCCATGGTCGGGGGGGGGGGGCGACGGCCTCGGGGGACCCCCTGATACCTCGGGGAGCCTCTGGGGGACCGCGCGCGCTTGGCGCGGCTCGTTTCCAGGCCTCCCTCCTTAGACACCCTGGGGGCAAGAGAGGATCACGACGAACGGCCCTTTGGCCCCCTCGCGCGGCGCGCCGCGTGCAGGCCTCCGCCCCCCCTCCCCCGGGCGCGGGGGGCGCGCGGGCCTCTGCGCCGCCGCCCCGCGGCCTCCCTCTGGGAACCTCCCTCCCTTGCCTCCCTCCCCTCCCTGCCCTCCCCTCCCTGCCTCCCTCCCTGCCTCCCTCCCTGCCTCCCTGCCTCCTCCCTGCCTCCCTCCTCCCTCCCTCCCTCCCTCCCTGCCTCCGTCCCTGCCTCCCTCCTCCTCCCTCCCTCCTCCCTCCCTGCCTTCCCTCCTTCCCTACCTCCTCCCTCCCTCCTCTCCCTACCTCCCTGGCCTCCCATCCATCCTCCTCCTCCTCCTCCCCTCCTCCTCCTCCGCCCTACCTCCCTCCCTCCCTCCCTCCCTCCCTCCTCCTCCCTGTCTGCCTCCCTCCCTCCTCCCTGCCTCCCTCCTCCCTCCCTGCCTCCCGGCCTGCTCCATGCCTCCCCCCTCTTTATGAGCCGCGGAATCGCCACGATTGCCTCGATCGGACTTCTCGTGGAATTTGGCCCAAAGCTCACTGCAAAGCTGAGCTAGCCAAGAAGCAGAGTTCTCGTGTTTGAGCAAGCCTTTCCCCGACCTGGTCGCCAGATCCAGAACTCCAGAACCTCCCTCCTTCCCTGCCTCCCTCACTTCGTCCCTTCCCCTGCCTCCCTCTTCCTTCCTGCCTCCATCCCTCCGCACCCCTCCCTGTTCCTCCCTCCTCTTTTTTTTCCCTCCTCCCTCCCTCCTCCCTCCCTCCCTCCCTCCCTGCCTCCATCCCTCCTCCTCCCTCCCTCCCTCCTCCCTCCTCCCTCCCGATCTCCAGGATGGACTCCTCATGCGCTGGTTGTTTCCCTCCCAGCTGCAAGGGGCCTTCCTGGCAGGGGCACACGTGGTCCCAGGACTCAACGAGCACAGGGGGCGCCATGCCTACACCGAAAGATGGCAAGGCATCGGGCAGGGCGCATGACCGGGCGGCAGCTTGGGCGGTGGCCCCTGGGCATGATGCCAGTTCCTCCCCGGGGCGCCGCAGAAGACCAAGGCCCAAGCCGGCATCAGCAGCCATCCAAGAGAGGCGGGGACAACACGGCAGGCCCGCGTCGAGGACACCGCCGAGGGGTCGATCGCCGGGAGCCCCTGCAGCCCACGGCGACGAGGGTCGCGGGCGCAGCCGGGTGGAGCCGCGGGCACGCAGGCGGGCGCCCCGCCCCGCCGGGGCGGAGCCTCCGCAGCCCGACAGTCGTCGGGGCACGCCGTCGCTCTGCGGCAGGTCCGAGCTGACGCAGCCCGTGCCAGGGCGGTCGCAGGGCTTGCGCTGCGGAGGGCGGGGTCGGCACGGAGGCTGTTCGTGTCCGCCCCCCTTCCTCGCGCCCGACGAGGCGCATGCGCACCTCTCCTGGATCGTTCCCGTCGTCGAAGCCCGAGTGTCTGCGGGGGCATCGTGGGGCGCCGGGCCCACGCAAGGGTGCACCTCTTCTTCAGCTTCGGTCCTCCACTCTCCTCGGACGTTCACGGCAAAGACTTAGGGACATTCGGCGGGTGATTGCGCTAGTCAATGTTCAGATTGCGAATGCCAGGGCCCCCCATACCAAAATCGAGGAGCCGCCGCACTTGGCGGATTCGTTTCAGAGAATGTGAGCAGCTGGTCCTCAGACGGAGGGAAGCGGAAGAGAGCGCCGAGCAGCTGGGGCTCTTGTTTCTTTCAGCACACTCAGATCTTGACCAGGCCACCACTATGCTCGCTTACTTTCTTTCTCAGACCCCCACTTGACCAGCAATCATGGACGCATCCGTGCGTGCAGAGGAGGTGCCCCAGCAGCAGCAGCAATGCCGATCGCGACATCAGAGAGTCCTGGGGGCACGGCCGCACCAGTGATTGTGATTTATCTCTCTGCTGATTCTGCTCCTCCAGCTCCCTGCCTGTTCGCTGGCTTCGATCAGCCGTCTTTTGTGTCGGTTATACAGCGTTGCAGGCGAACGCATGTGAGATTGCCAAGGAAGTGGGCAATGTCAAAGTTGCGTGCGAGGGGCCAGTCTAAAGCCATGCGCGAGGCAATGGATGCTATGTGGTCAGCATGGCTGCAGGTACGCAGAAGAACATGGATTCTCTCGCCACCTCCTCGCTGAAGGTTTTGCCGCCATCATCCAGGTTGGCGTGTAAAGCGGGTTGGGACCCTGCGCGACGCCGAAGATAATACAGTTGCGGATGCACCAGGCGAAGAGCCGTTTGCAGACAGACGGGGAAGGTCAGTTGCGCCAGATGGGACGGGGGCCTGGGCTCTGTCGGCTCTTCGAGAAGAGGCATCAGAGGAGGCCCCACGTAGACGTTCCACCAGTTCCAGGCGTCCCGCTGAGAAGCCTCGCGACCGAGGCCTGTGTGACGCACCGCATGACTCGGCTCTCGACGCGCCGTCGCCGATCATGCAGGTGGGCTTCCGCTTCGACCTTCCTCCATGGTCAGCCAGTGGCGGCACGAGAGAGCCTGCCAGCGCGTTGGCGGGGGCAGAGCCAAGGGACAGGGGCGAGCACGCAGCTCGTGCGCAGCAGGGCGACTTGGCTCGGGCTGCCCCTGGCGGGACAGTCGGTCGGGCAATCTAGGGGGCGCGGAGCCCAGGATAGATCTCGGCAGAAGGCGGGGCCTAAGACGCAGTCCGCTCCCACCGGCTACCTGGGGGGGTGCGAAGTGCGGAGCCGTCGCCACTTTCGTGGGCTCCAGGGAGGTCGCGCGGAGTGGCGTCGTACGGGGACCCAGTTGAGACCTCGCGGCTCCCTGAGGGGGCTGCGAAGCGTGGAGCCGTCGCTGCTCTTCGTGGGCTTCTGGGAGGTCGCGCTCGCCCTTCCCTTCAGGCACTACTCATGCCTCCCTTGACGGCGGTTGGCCATATCCGAACCGAATCGTTCTTCCCTTCTCTCCCCTCCCTCCCCCCTTCTTCCCTCCTCTCTCCTCCCCCCTCCCCCTCCCTTTCCCCCCTCCCCAGCGGGAGCCCATTGACCCTCCCCTCCCTCCTCCACAGTACACAATGTGAATACTACTCTTCTCTGTCCCCTGCTGACGTCCGGAAGATGTCCGGCCCTCCTCCTCGTATGGTTTTTTACACACTGGATTTCGTTTTTTTTTTTTCTCTGAATTTTGCTCCCGCTGAAGCGCTGGCCTCATTTTTGGGCTTTCGCTCGTTCCGAATCGTGCTCCCGCTGCAGCGCTGGCCTCATTTCCGCGCTTACGCTCGCCGCTCATTCCAAATCGTGCTCCCGCTGCAGCGCTGGCCTAATTTCCTGGTTTTCATTTGTGTTTTTGACACTCCAATTTTCTCGGTCCTTCAAAATGTTGTTCCTGCTGCAGCGCTGGCCCCAATTCTGCGCCTCTGGTTGTTCCAAAACGTGCTCCCGCTGCAGCGCGGGCGTTTTCGGTCCTTCCAAGTAGGCCTCAAATTTAGAAAATGACCTCCAGAACAAACATCGCAAGTGATTTCGCATCCGGTGTCGGTTCATTGAGTTTTTGGGCCGCAGAAGGCTTTCCCTCCAGTCTTCGGGGTGGCGTCGTTTGGAGGAAGTATCAAGCGGGAGCCCCGTTTCTGCTTGCAGAAGGCGATGTTGCAAGCAGAGCCAGCGGGTGCTCTCCATCAGCCCCGTCTTGTGGGGAGCTTTTCGGAGAGCCCAGGGAGCTGAACATGGAGCCGCGACTCCAGACCGGCTCAGACCCTTCGAAGACGATCCATTTACCCTCCAAGGAACCCGGTGCCCTGCCATGACATGCTGTGCGGTGTTCTGTTCTGCGCCGCTGTGCGATGCCATACTGTGCGTTGCAATGCTTTGTGATGCAATGCTTCACTGCGCAATGCCAGGCCATGCTATGACATTCTACGCTCTGCCGTGCTCTGCTTCGCCATGCCATGCCACGCTCTACGATGCATCGCGCACCCTCTCGCGATCGTTGCCCTGGTCGACATCCGATTGTGCGAATAGAGGGGAGATCTACGCCATGGTAAGGGATGGGAGGGAGGGGTAGGACGTCATATATGACGCAAGCGCACTTAGCTTGCCCCTCCACCCCCTCCTCCCCCTTCCCTCCTCCCCGCTTCCCCCCCCCCCACCTCCCCCCTCCTTCCTCCCCGCTCCCTCCTTCCCCCTCTCCCTCTTCCCCCCCCCCCCGCGGGAGCCCACTGACCTCCCGCTCGTGGGCCCCCGCGGGCCGCCTCTCCGCAGGTGCCCCGCGGCATCCCGCCAGGAGTGGCCAGCACCCGCCTGAGGCCCGGCGGGTTCGCCAGGGGTGGGGGGCGGGGGGGGGGGCCGCGGGGGGGGGGGGGGGGGTCACGACCTCGGAGGTGCCGAGGGGGGAGCCTCCTCCTCCTCCTCACTCCTCCTCCTCTCCTCTTCCTCTCCGCTCTCCGCCCTCCTCCTCTCCTGCTCCTCCTCCTCCTCCTCCTCCTGCTCCTCCTCCTCCCCCTCGTCCTCGTCGTCGTCGTCGTCCTCCTCCTCCTCCTCCTCCTCCTCCTCCTCTTCCCCCTCTTCCCCCTCTCCTGCCTACGTGGCCTTTGGGCCAGCTGGGGACGGGGCCTCATGGAGGGAGTGGGATTTCGTAGGCCCATGTGAACGACGGGGCTGGGGCTGGCTGGGGGTCCGAGGTGGCCCAGGAGTGGTGGCCAGCAGGACGGGCGCGAGAGGGGCACGGCCTTCGGAGATGCTCGCGGGCGTCCAAGAAGGGGTGACGAGTACCCTCAGGTTCGAGGACGACTACGACGACGACGACGAGGAGGAGGAGGAGGAGGAGGAGGAGGAGGAGCAGGATGAGGAGGCAGAGGAGGATGAGGATGAGGATGATGATGATGATGATGAGGATGAGGAGGAGGAGGAGAAGGAGAAGGAGGAGGAGGAGGAGGAGGAGGAGGAGGAGGAGGAGGAGGAGAAGCAACGTCATTTCCATAAGCTGTTGGAGCTCAAGGAGCAGCGGGGCCCCGCGCAGGTGGGGGCGGGGTGCAACGGGCACGGTCCTCGGAGATGCCCCCAGGGGGCCTTGTCAGGGGGGGACGTCTCTAACCGAGACCTCTGGATAGTCGGAGAAGAATCAATCGAAGAAGAACACAAACACATAAACATTAACTTTTGGCGCTCCGCGTGGATTTCTTGGATCCGCGCTGGGTCCCCCTGGCGGCGCTTCCTGCGGCGTCCCTGGCGCGCTCCGCGCGCAAGGGGGGGTGGGTCCGGCACGGATCCGAGAAATCCGCGCGGAGCGCCAAACGTTTATGTTTATGTTTTTTTTTCTTCTTCCAGTGAAGCACATACGGTCGGACCGAGGTCTCAGATCGAGGTACATTCGGGCAGGGTGCCCTGATGTTCTCCGTGCTTGTTGGACGTTCTTGTGCATCCTGGGGGACGGTACCCTAGGCTGCTCTGCAGTGTGGCCAGCGGAGGGTCTCGTGCTCTTGAAGGGTGTTCTTCTGCCCTAGGTCTGGCCGTAGACAGAAGTTTTTCGGAGCTCCGCGCGGACTTCTTGGATCGGGGATGGCGGCGCCTCCGGCGCCGCCCCTGGGGCGCCCCGCGCGCCAGGAAGAGGGGTCCAGCGCCGAACCAAGAAATCTGCGCGGACCTCCAGAAGTTTGAGTGTATGCAGGTTGATGCTCCTCTGCAGGAGGTGCCGTCTATAACAGCGAACTTCTGAGAAGCTGGTGGGGTTCTCAGAGGGGGCAGGACTGCGTCCGATCGTGCTTGTGCAATTGTGCATGACCACGTCTTTGTTTATTCATGTTGCGCTGTATCTCTTCATTCTCATGCGTCGGTTGTTCTCTTGCCCAGCACCTCACATGTTCCACCTGGCGCTACGGCGCCCACCTAAGACTCCCTAGCCGGCGACAGCTCCAGGTCCGACGTCCGACGCCTTCTCGGAGGGGCCCTTCTCAGATGGGTCCGTGAATCGTGAACCTCTGGCCCAGACCACTTCTGGTCGTAACAGAAACAACGGATGACGATGTCTTGCCAATTTCGGCCTCCAGGAGGAGGAGGAGGAGGAGGAGGAGGAGGAGGAGGAGGCCCTCACTGGTCCCCAGGCTGGGCAGAATACGATGGGCGAAGCAACCAGTCCCGGTGAAGGGGTCCATGCCTCCGGGGCTTCACGTTGCGAAACTCAGTGCATCGCGCTGTCGCTCGAGACGTCTTTGCGATTCATGCAGGACGCACGCTTCGGCAGCCCGCCTGCTCGACCTGGCCGCCTGGGCCCGCCTTTCCGACCCGCCTGCCAGGGTCTACCCGCTCGAGCTGCCCGTCTTGTTCTGCCAGGTGTTTTTTGCTCTTAGCCCCTTTCCTGCTACTCTCTCTCGTGCTCCATCCTCCTCCCTGCCCCTTGTCCCTTCCTTCGTTCCGCCCTCTCTTCACGTTGCAGGTATGAAAGACACATACCCCCAAGGGGGTACGATCAAAGACGAAGAGGACGAGTATCGAGGAATGGGACATACGTGTTGAATGGCCCGCGGACAGATAAGAGCGAGCAGTTTTGGAACGATGGTTGTTGTTGCTGCTGTTGTTGTCGTTATGCTAAATATTGCTGTTGTTGTTTTTGTCGTTGTCATTGTCGTTGTTGCTGTTGTTTTTTTTGTTGCTGTTGTTGTTATTGTTGTTGTTGTGGTTGTTGTTGCTGTTGTTGTTGTGGTTGTTGTTGTAATTCTTCACGCTTCGCGTATCCCCACCAGCCCATCTCAAAACAGCAACTCTTGCGAAGCATGCCGACAGTCGTGTTTTTCAGGCGTGTTTCCGCCTGCCCCCGCATATCTCCCCTGTTCCTCCTTCCTCCCGCCTCCTTGTACATCCTCCTTGTGGTGGGAGCGGGAGAAGGACGAGGCGGAGGAGGAGGGAGAGAAAGCGCTCCTCGTGGTTTGAGTCGTTTGGGGTTTCTCGTCCTGGTGTGAGTCGTTCGGGCCCTTCTTCCTGGTGTGAGTCGTTCGGGCTCTTCGTGGTGTGAGTCGTTCGGGCTCTTCGTCCTGGTGTGAGTCGTTCGGGCTTCTCGTGGTGTGAGTTGTTCGGGCCCCTCGTCCTGGTGTGAGTCGTTCGGGCCCCTCCTCCTGGTGTGACTCGTTCGGGCTCCTCGTGGTGTGAGTCGTTCGGGGCCCGCGTCGTGGTGTGAGTCGTTCGGGCTCCTCGTGGTGTGAGTCGTTCGGGCGCCTCGTCCTGGTGTGAGTCGTTCGGGCCCCTCCTTCTGGTGTGAGTCGTTCGGGCTCTTCGTGGTGTGAGTCGTTCGGGCCCCTCGTCCTGGTGTGAGTCGTTCGGGCTCCTCGTGGCGTGAGGCGTTCGGGCACCTCGTCCCCTTTTGGGGCGTCTTGGGGGCCTCTTGGCGGCCCCAGGGGCTTCTAGGAGCGTCTTGGGTGCCTTGGGGGAGCCTCGTGGGGCCTCTTGGGGGCCTCTTGGAGGCTCTTGGGGCCTCTTGGGGGCCTCTTGGGGGCCTCTTGGGGGCCTCTTGGGGGCTTCTTGGGGCGTCTGGGGGCCTCTTGGGGGCCTCTTGGGGGCTCTTGGGGGCCTCTTGGGGCCTCTTGGGGGCCTCTTGGGGGCCTCTTGGGGGCCTCTTGGGAGCCTCCTGGGGGCCTCTTGGGGCCATCTTGGGGCCTCTTGCGACCTCCTCAGAAGCCCTGAGAAGGAGAACATGAGCCCAAAACCTTCGTAAAATCAATGATTTTGCTATGAAGGAAGATGAGCGCGGCCCCCTCAGAAGGCCAAAATGGGGCCGAAACCGTAGTAAAATCAATGATTTTGGTTTCAAAGAAAAGGAGATCATTTTTTCTGCCCCCCCCCCGTCGGATCCAGAATCCTCGTGAGGGGTGTCGTTTTTTAGCCCTCCCAGGAGTCGAAATTGACCCCCCTGACGACCCGCGCCCCCCCCTCCCCAGGCCCAGGGGGAGGGGGTAGGGGGAGGGGTAAACCCCTCCCCGAAGGGGAAGAAGGGGGGTTGAGGACAGAGAGAGCTCGCTAAACCACTCGCGCCCAAAGGGCTGGTGGGATTATTGTGATTTTTGTTGTTGAACATTATTTCTTCTTAAGAATAATTATTGTTGGGACCCCTGGTGCGCGCCCCCCCCCGCCGCGCCTAGGCCGCAGCCACATTTTCATCATTTTCGTGAGGAAGCCTCAGGCAAAACGGGTTGGTCCAGATCTGGTTGTTTTGTTGTCCCCCGCTTTCCCTTGCAAAAAAATAAGCTAAAGTGGACATATCTTGTTCTAACATATCCAAACTTGAAGAATCCCTTGCAAAAAATAAGGTACAGTGGACATTCGCGCGCGCAAGACGAAATCCTTCCAAAACCTTAGTTTTCGTAACGCTTTTAACAGAAAAACATCAAAAAACCAATGATTTTTCAAAAAAAAAATGTCAAAATTTCATCCCGCGCGCTCTTGCGGATTCGTAGGAAACCCAACACTTTTTAAACATTTCTGTCAAACGGGCTTTTGCTAGCAACTTTTTCGAACTTCTGCAACAACGGTTGCGCACCTGCCAGGGCCATCATCCCTGTCAAATAATACCATGCGGGACACATTCGTTTTTTCTTCGCGCGCGCACGCCGTCGTCGTCGGCCGCGGGGCCCTGAATAGTAGCCACGGTCGTCCGCATGCCACGAAGTGAAGTGTCCGAACGTCATAGGGCGGGAAGCTGGGTGTGGGTGGTGGCGAAGAGTCGTTGGAAATTTGGTAGAGCTTGAACCGGCCCCCCCACAAAGTGGGGGTATTGCCCGCCTCCTATGAAAACCCTGGCACTGGTGAGAACGGAGTGTCCCCACGTGCTAGTAATTGATGTTGTTGTTGTTGCTGTTGTTGTCGTCGTCGTCGTGAGTGCTGTCATTATTGTTGTTGTTGTCGTTGTTATTGTTGCTGTTGTTGATGATGTTGTTGTTACTGTTGTTGTTGCTGCTACGGTTGTTGTGGTTGTGGTTACTGTTGTTGCTGTTGTTGTTGTTTTTGTTTGTTTTTTTGCAGTTGCTGCTGTTGGTCTGGTCGTTGTTGTTGAGGATACTTATGATGATGTTGTGGTGGTGGTTGTTGTTGTTGTTGTTGTTGTTCTTGTTGTTATTGTTGTTGTTGTTGTTGTTGTTGTTGTTGTTGTTGTTGTTGTTGTTGATGCTGTTGAGGTTGTTGATGTTTTTGGTGGAGGCCTACACTGGGTGCCCGTGCACCCCCACCACACCCACACACCCACACCCACGTCCACACCCACGTCCACACCCACATTCACGCCCACATCCACACCCACGCCCACATCCCCACCCACACCCATTGAGGGCCCACCGACGCCCAATTTCGGCACACCCCTCACGAGGTGGCCCTGGCCCCATAGCTCTTCCGAAGGTCCCAGTGGCAGGGCCCGCATGAGTCTTCGGGCCCGATTACCCCTCGCGAGTGTCGTCGCCCTGGCCCCACTGGGAGCTCCACCGAGGGCCCACCGAAGCTTCATGTCGGCAAACCCCTCAGGAGGTTCGTTGCCCTGACCCGAACACGGAGCTCCTCCGCAGGTCCCAGTGGCAGGGCCAGCATGCGTCCCCCGGCCAAATTTCGGCACACCACACCCGTGACGAAGATCGTGGCTCATAGCAGGGAGCTCCTACTAGGAATCGGAATAGGGAGCTCCTACTATGAGTCGTAGTAGGGAGCTCCTACTACGAGTCGCTACTACGAGTCGTAGTGGGGAGCTCCTGCTATAGGTCGTGGTAGGGAGCTCCTGCTATGAGTCGTAGTGGGCAGCTCCTGCTATGAGTCGTAGTGGAAGGCTTCTGCTATGAGTCGTAGTAGGGAGCTCTTGTTATGAGTCGTAGAAGGGAGCTCCCGCTATGCGTGTAGTAGGGGGGCCCTACTATGAGTCGTAGCAGGGAGCTCGTACTATGAGTCGTAGCAGGGAGCTCCTATCCTGAGTCGTAATGGGGAGTTCCTATTATGAGTCGTAGTGGAGAGCTCCTACTATGAGTCGTAGTAGGGAGCTCCTGCTATGAGTCGTAGTAGGGGGCTCCTGCCATGAGTCGTAGTAGGCAGCTCCTACTATGAGTCGTAGTAGGGAGCTCCTACTAGGAGTCGTAGTAGAGAGCGCCTATTACAAGTCGCTGGGGGAGCTCCTACCATGAATCGTAGCGTGTTGATCCTACTATGAGTCGTAGTGGGGAGCCCTGGCTATGAGTCGTAGTGGGGAGGTCCTATTTTGAGTCGTAGTAGGGAGTTTATGGGGAGCTCCCACTATGAGTTGTAGTAGGGAGCTCTTACTATGAGTCGTAGGAGGGAGCTTTTACTATGAGGCGCAATAGGGAGCTCTTACTATGAGTCGTAGTAGGGAGCTCCTGCTCTGGGTCGTAGTGGTGGGCTCCTTCTATGAATCGTAGTAAGGGGGCTCCTATTAGGAGTCGTAGTGGGGAGGTCCTGCTGTAAATCGTAGTAGGGAGCTCCTACTATGACTCGTAGTAGGGAGCTCCTACTAGGAGTCGTAGTAGGCAGCTCCGTAGTGGGGAGCTCCTACTATGAGTCGTGGTGGGGATCTCCTACTATGAGTTGTAGTAGGAAGCTCCTACTACGAGTCGTAGTGGGGAGGTCCCGCTGTAAGTCGTGGTAGGGAGCTCCTGCTTTGAATCGTAGTAGGGGGCTCCAACTACGAGTCGTAGTATAGAGCCCTTACTATTAGTAGTAGTAGTGGGGAGCTCCTCTTAGGAGTCGTAGTAGGGAGCTCCTACTATGAGTCGTAGTAGGGAGCTCCTACTATGAGTCGTAGTAGGCCGGAAATCGAGAAACACCGTCCGTAGTGTTTTCCTGAAGGGAAAGCGTGCATGCCGCATCGGTAGAGAGTGGCGAAAAACCTTCTGTAGTGTGTTTTTTTTTCCGGACGGAAAATTCTGCTCAAGCTGTGTTCCCAGACCGCTCTTCTGGTCCTCCTCCTTCCCTGCCTCCTCCTCCTCGCCATCGCCCTCCTTCTCCTCCTTTTCCTCGCCTCCTCCTCCTCCTCCTCCTCCTCCTCGTCCTGTTCCTCCGCGTTTCCTCCTCCCCTCCCTCCTTTTGTTGTGCCCCCTCCTATTTCTCCTCTGCCTCCTCCTCCTCCTCCTCCTCCTCCTCTGCCACCTCCTCCTTTTCCCCCCTCGCCCCCCTCCTCCCCCTCCTCCTCATCCTCCTCCTCCTCCTCTCCTCCCCTCCTCCTCCTCCTCCTCTCCCTACCTGCTCCTCTTCCTCCTCCTCGTCGTCCTCCTCCCCGCCTCCTTTCCTCTTCCTCTCCTCCCCCGCCCTCCTCCCCCCCTTCCCCAGTCCTCCGCCTCCTCCCCCTCGATCCCGACTCCCTCTGCGTATCCTCCCCCCTCCTCCCCCCTCCCCTCAAATCTTCCTTGTCGTAGCCATCGTCGGACATCTGGGCGCCGAGCTTTGGGCGGCGCGCGCCGCCGAGAGGCGCCTGCGCGGGGTGCCCGCCGCGGGCGACGCCGAGGGCGGCCTGCTCCCGCCGGTGGGGTCGTCGCCGAGGCGGCCGCCGGGCCAGGCCGCCGCGGCGAACAAGGAGGGGGGGGGCTGTAGTCTTGAGTCGGGCATGTCCCTCGACAGGAGGAACATTCAAGTTTTTTTTTTTTTTTTTTTTTTTTTTTTTTTTTTTTTTTTTTTTTTTTTTTTTTTTTTTTTTTTTTTTTTTTTTTTTTTTTTTTTTTTTTTTTTTTTTTTTTTTTTTTTTTTTTTTTTTTTTTTTTTTTTTTTTTTTTTTTTTTATAAAAAAAAAAAAATATATGTATATATATATATACCTAACAGCGAAGACTGATAGGTTTCTAGTTGACTCAAAAGAGCTCACAGATCACTCCACAGGGGGGTCGGGCAGGCGTTGGAGTTGCCGGCCGGGCCTGTGCCGGGCTCGTTTTTCACCAACAGTCACACACTTCGTGCTCGTCGACCTCTCAGAACCCCATTCCCAGGCCACATTCTGAATAACCGGATGCAACAGTCACACACTTGGTGCTCCTTGACTCCCAGAACTCCATTCCCGGCGTACATTCGGATTCCCGGAGCCAACTGTAGGCCACTTCGTGGTCTTCAGTTCCCAGAACTCCATTCCCGGGCCACATTTGGATGCCCGGAGCCAACTGTAGGCCACTTCGTGGTCTTCGAGTTCCCAGAACTCCATTCCCGGGCCACATTTTGGATGCCCGGAGCCAACTGTAGGCCACTTCGTGCTCTTGGACTTCCCAGAACTCCATTCCTGGGTATGATTTTGAATGCCCGGAGCAAACTGTAGGCCACTTCGTGTTCTTCGAGTTCCCAGAATTCCATTCCCTGGCCACATTTTGAATGCTGAGGCAGGCTGATGGAGGCTGAGGCAGGCTGAGGCTGAGGCTGAAGGCAGACTCAGGCTGAGGCTGATGCAGGCTGAGGCTGAGGCTGAGGCTGAGGCTGAGGCTGAGGCTGAGGCTGAGGCAGGCTGAGGCTGAGGCTGAGGCAGGCAGGCTGAGGCTGAGGCTGAGGCAGCAGGCTGAGGCTGAGGCTGAGGCAGGCTGAGGAGGCTGAGGCTGAGGCTGATGCAGGCTGAGGCTGAGGCAGGCTGAGGCTGAGGCCGAGGCTGAAGGCAGACTGAGGCTGAGGCTGAAGCAGGCCGAGGCTGAGGCTGAGGCAGGCTGAGGCTGAGGCTGAGGCAGGCTGATGCTGAGGCAGGCTGAGGCTGAGGCTGATGCAGGCTGAGGCTGAGGCAGGCCGAGGCCGAGGCCGAGGCTGAAGGCAGACTGAGGCTGAGGCTGAAGCAGGCTGAGGCTGAGGCTGAGGCAGGCTGAGGCTGAGGCTGAGGCTGAGGCAGGCTGAGGCTGAGGCAGGCTGAGGCTGAGGCTGATGCAGGCTGAGGCAGAGGCAGGCTGAGACTGAAGCCGAGGCTGAAGGCAGATTGAGGCTGAGGCTGAGGCTGAGGCAGGCTGAGGCTGAGGCTGAGGCAGGCTGATGCTGAGGCAGGCTGAGGCTGAGGCTGAGGCTGATGCAGGCTGAGGCTGAGGCAGGCTGAGGCTGAGGCCGAGGCTGAAGGCAGACTGAGGCTGAGGCTGAAGCAGGCTGAGGCTGAGGCTGAGGCAGGCTGAGGCTGAGGCTGAGGCAGGCTGATGCTGAGGCAGGCTGAGGCTGAGGCTGAGGCTGATGCAGGCTGAGGCTGAGGCAGGCTGAGGCTGAGGCCGAGGCTGAAGGCAGACTGAGGCTGAGGCTGAAGCAGGCTGAGGCTGAGGCTGAGGCAGGCTGAGGCTGAGGCTGAGGCAGGCTGATGCTGAGGCAGGCTGAGGCTGAGGCTGAGGCTGATGCAGGCTGAGGCTGAGGCAGGCTGAGGCTGAGGCCGAGGCTGAAGGCAGACTGAGGCTGAGGCTGAGGCTGAGGCTGAGGCAGGCTGAGGCTGAGGCTGAGGCAGGCTGAGGCTGAGCTGAGGCAGGCTGAGGCTGAGGCTGAGGCTGATGCAGGGTGAGGCTGAGGCAGGCTGAGGCTGAGGCCGAGGCTGAAGGCAGACTGATGCTGAGGCTGAAGCAGGCTGAGGCTGAGGCTGAGGCTGAGGCTGAGGCTGAGGCAGGCTGAGGCTGAGGCTGAGGCTGATGCAGGCTGAGGCTGAGGCAGGCCGAGGCTGAGGCGAGGCTGAGGCGAGGCTGAGGCTGAGGCTGAGGCTGAGGCTGAGGCTGAGGCTGGCTGAGGCTGAGGCAGCTGCTGAGGCAGGCTGAGGCTGAGGCAGAGGCAGGCTCAGGCTGAGGCAGGCTGAGGCTGAGGCCGAGGCTGCAGGCAGACTGAGGCTGATGCAGGAGCAGGCTGAGGCTGAGGCTGAGGCAGGCTGAAGCTGAGGCTGAGGCTGATGCTGAGGCAGGCTGAGGCTGAGGCTGAGGCTGAGGCTAATGCATTCCACTCGACTGTCATCGCGAATGCGACTACGACTGCGAGAACAGCAGAACTCTACAACTGGATTCTCATCTGAATCTTCAGGGGGATGCTTCCAGATATGCTCCTACACATCGCTGTTAGGTTGCTTTGCCGTTTTTTTTTTTTTTTTTTTTTTTTTTTTTTTTTTTTTTTTTTTTTTTTTTTGTTTTTTTTGTTTTTTTGTTGTTGTTTTTTATATTTATTTATTTATATATATATAGATATGAATATTCAAGACTGCATTGCCGCTTCGCGCCATGCACCTTGTTCCGGACGCTTCCCCGGCAGAGCAATCAATCATCGCTTGCTTCAGCAGGGGGAACCTCGAGGCCTGGACGGGCGGCCGGCTCATTTTTCTGATGTCCCTGGTGCCTGCTGACACCGCGTTCGCCCGATGCGCTTGCACGCTTGTGCGCAGGACTGAGGAAGGAATGATGCTTTTTTTTCACGCGCGAATGTGCTGGCAAACGACGAAACATCAAACTGTTGCGATGGCACCTGTCCATGAACGGGGAACGGGAAGGGAACAGGGATGAGGTGGGGGCAGAGGCGGAAGGGGGAGGAGAGGGGGCAGAAACGGGGAGAAAGAGCGTTCCCATGACACGCCGAAGAAGTCGAAGTAGTAGTTCCGAACACATTGATTTTTGGTCGCTTCCTGAATGCCTTGAGGGCTCCAGGCACTCACGAAATTTTCGAGCGTCGAATTTCGAATCTAGATCAATTGCTTGTCTCCCTCACTCGAGGACTTGAAACCTCGAGCCTCAAGCGTGGAACCAAGATCGTCGGGTCAGGTTGAGTACTTCGTCGGAACACGCCGTCTGGGCGTTTTTGGGGTTCTTTTGGGCCGTCCTGGGGCCCTCTTGACCCGTCCCGGGGTCTTCTTGGGCCGTCTTGGGGGGCTGGGGCCCTCCAGACGTCTTCTCAAGCCATCCAGGGCCCCATTGGGGGCCCCCAGTGGCCTTCTTGGGGGTCTCCCATGGCTTTCGTGGGTTTTTCTTGGGAGCCTTCTGGGGGCATCTTGGGCTTCTTGCGGGCAGTCTCGGGGCTCTCTGGGGCAGCCTTGGCTGTCTTCAAACCCTCTGGGGGCCTCTTGGGCCGTCTTGGGGCGATATCGGGGGCCCATTGGGCCGTCTTGGACGCTGCGAAATCTTCAGAAAACGGCAATGCTAAAAGTATCTATTTTCCGGAAGAAATGGACGATGTGTGGTTCTTCGGGGCTCTCTTAACGGCGTCTTGGGGAGTCTTGGGGGCGTCTTGGGCCGTCTTCAGACCATCGACGTTCCCCTTGGGGCGCTCTTGTGCTGTCTTGGGTCTCTTTTGCGCCTCGCCGATGACCTTTCTGATCGCCTTGAGTCTGATCGCAAGGCCCGGCAAGGCGCCCCAGGAGGCCTGGAAGTGCCAGCGGACGTTTTTCCAAGGGCGTCCAGGGGGCCGCCGACAGGTCCGAAATGGCGTCCGGGACGTCCCTTGGGGGGGGGAGGCCCAGTTTAGAGTGGGGTGGGTGGGGTGGGGGGTTCCAGGTAATAAAAGTATAGGAATAGGAATAGGAATAGGAATAGGTGTATGTATGTATGTGTGTATGTATGCATGTATGTATGTATGTGTATGTGTATGTGTATGTGTATGTGTGTGTGTATGTGTATGTGTATGTGTATGTGTATGTGTATGTGTATGTGTATGTGTATGTGTATGTGTATGTGTATGTGTATGTGTATGTGTATGTGTATGTATGTATGCATGCATGCATGCATACATGGATGTATGTATGTATGTAGGTATGTATGTATGTATGTATGTATGTATGTGTATATATATGTATATACGTACATATGTATTGGTGTATATCTACAGATGTGTATGTATATGTTTCGTCGGACAACTTGCTTGTTTTGTTTAGCTGTTTCTTTCATACATATATATATATACACATATCCGTAAGGGCTTCGCTCCCCGCCGCTGGCCCCCTCTCTCTGATATTGGCCAATGCAAGAACGAAATCATGAGGCCTTGGCGCCGCCGTACATCAGCGTCGGGACTTCACGCGAAGACGATGAGTAATCGGCAAGACAAACTGTGATTCGGATGATATTATTGAATTCGGTATTGTAGTTCGAAGGTTTATGGCTTCGGCTACGCGAATAACTTACACTTTGCGCAGTTTTATGGCTCCGGGGTTGCAACTATGGCGTAATTTCCGCAGGTATATGGCTTCGGAGACGCGAGTATTGTGTAATTTACGAGGGTTGATGGCTTCGGACACGCGATTCTGATTTTACGAGGGTTTACGGTTTCGGGGTTGCAGATCTTGTGTCATCTACGCAGGTTTATGACTTCGGAGACGCGAGCATTGTGAAATTTACAACGGGTTGAAGGCTTCGGGGACGCGAATTTGTATGCTTTGCCAAGGTTTATGGCTTCGGGGACACGACTCTCGTGTAATTTACGAAGGTTTTAGGCTTCGGGGACGCGAATATCGTATCATTTCGAAGGGTTTATGGCTTCAGGGACACGAATATTGTATAATTCAAGAAGGTTCATGGACTCGGGAACACGAATATTGTATAATTTACGTGGGTTTCTGGCGTCGGGGGCGCGAGTTTCAAGTACTTTTGCATGTCCCGCGCCCCCCCCAGGAATTCAGATCACGCGATTCGAGCGTGGTAATCCGGACGCTTTTCGGCTCCTCCCCCCCTCGCGCGGTCTACAACAAGGAACAGTAAGCACCAAGAAGCAGACCTGTAACAGTGGAAATTGGGAGCTGGAACTGGTGCAGGCAACAGCAAACCCTCAGCCTACAGCCTGGTGCGCCACAAAGGGGCCGGCGGATATGTATATGTATGTGTGTGTGTATATATGTATATATATATATATATATATATATATATATATCCCTTCCAAAATCCACCTGTAGGAGGACATGCTGGACCTACCTTTAGTGTCCAGGCTTCCCAGGTGGTGTCCAGACATCCAGCGATTCGAAAAATCGAGACGGAGGTCTTTCATACTTTTCGGCGTCGCGGGGCCCTTGCCAGGCTTCGGGGCCGTCAAGAAACGATTCGGGCCTGGGGAAGTGGTGCCAAGTCTGCAGCTGCTGCTGCTGCTGCTGCTGCTGCGACCCCCCCCCCGACGATCCGAATAGCAGAACGTTAGCTTGGCAGGAAAGTCAACTTTTTATTTGGCGTTTCGACATTGGGCGGATGGGGCGACGGGGAGGGGGGGGGGGTAAGCCATTTGGCCTCTTGCGGGCCAGCCGATCCCGATCGATCCATCGGGGTCGGTCGGCGCCTGCCGCCCGATCGATCGCGGTGGCAGGGCGCATCGCGCATCGGCCAGCCCCCGAGGCCGGGCTCACGCGCGCCGCGCGCCATCCTCTGCGGCAGGGGGCCACCCGTGCCTCTCTGCCCCCTGCCGCAGGCCGCGGCGCTCGCGGCCGCGCTGCGGCCCACCGGCGGGGCGCCGCCACATCGCCGAGGAGGAGGCCCAGAGGGCGCCGCGCACCGCCGTGAGCGGCAGCAGAGAGCCCAGGACAGGCTCCTGCTCCGCCTGCGGGCGGCGGCCGAGCGCCTGGCCGCCCATCACTCTGCCCAGCCAGCGATGGCACGAGAGGGGAAGGGCAGAGGCAGCGGTGGCCGAGGCGGCAAGGGCCACGCCCAGGAAGGAGCATCGCCGCCAGCAGCGCCCCCTTGGCGCCAGGAGAGGTGGCAGGGCGCTGGATGGCAAGAACAGCAGTGGAACGCGGAGCCAGCAGGCGAGGACCCGCCCTGGCGCAGAACGCTTTCACGGCCGCGGCGCTCTGGCCAGGCCAGCCCTCGCCAATGGCAACCGCAGCAGCAGCAGCAGCAGCCCAGCCAGCCCCCATGGCAGCAGCAGCAGCAGCAGCAGCAGCAGCTGCAGCAGCAGCCCAGGGCGGGCAAAGGCGGCCAGGCCAGTTCCAGCAAAGCGGACCAGAGGGCTCAAAAAGTCATTGACTCCGTGGCGGCCTGCACGCTGGACGAGGCAACTTCCCACCCAAAGTGGCAGGCGCCCCCAGCTGACCGCGCAGGTATCCAGAAGTTCCTGAGCAGTGCGGACCAGAGGCCGAGGAAACTCGGCGACCTGGTCGTCGCCAAGCAGGCCGCGGGCGACAGCACGAAGGAGCAGCTGATGGAAATCTCGGTCATCAAATACCAGAAGCTGGTCACGAGGAGGCCGAACGACCAGCTGCAGGTGCTCAGCAAGAGGCGCAAGGCCGTCAAACTTGAAGTCATCGCCCTCGAGGCCAAGACGAACGAGCTGCGGGACGACCTCAAGGCCAAGCAGCAGGAGTTGAGGCAGCTCGAGTCCAACATCGCCGACGTGCGGGCCGTGCTCGCAGACGGCGGCGCGGCGGACGACGAGGGCGACTGGGACACGGACGGGTTCGGCTTGGCACCGAGCTGGGATGCCTTCCACAAGGCCGTGATCGACAGGCGCCTGCACAGCGAAGCACCTGGTGACGGATTCCCAGCTTGGCCAGCGGGAGTGGTGGGGCGATCGCCACGCTCAAGAGCCAGCTCGGCAGGCAGCGCAACCAGAGGCTTCGCCGATCAGGTGGCCAAGGCGAATGCGGAGCGGGCCCACCAGCAGCAGCGCCATGCCGAAGCCGAGCAAGAATTTGCTGCCGAGCTGGCGGAAGTCAGGAGGGTCGCCCGAGAACAAGCACTCCGCCACAACGGCGAGCAGGCGAAACTCAGGCTGGCACTCAAGGAGGAGTCAGAGCAGCTGCAGCGCATCACCGCAGCGGAGAGCGCAGCCCAGCAGCAGCAGCAGCAACACAAGGCCCTCCGCCATGAGATCAAGAAGCAACACGCCGAGCAGCTCGAGTTCGCGACGCAGATGGAGGCCAGGATAATCAGCCATGACACAGCCTTCAGTCAAGCCAAGGCAGAGGCCGAAGCTGCGACCCAGCGGGCAAATCACCTGCATGAGCAGCTTGAGCAAGTTCGAGCGGAGCACCGAGAGCAACCGCAACCCCAGGACAGGGTCTACCAAGACCTGCTGCGGGCAAGAGCCGAGGCGCAAGAGGCATTGCGACGGGCCCAGCACGAGAGCGCCCAAGCGACAGCTACAGCGGGCACTCTCAAGCAGCAGCTCACCAGGCAGGAGCTGGTCATGGAAGAGAAGTTCCAGGAGGCCAAAAAGAACCACGCCCTCGAGCTTGAAGCTGCCGCCGAGTCAGCCAGGGTCCAGGCAATCGCCCAGGCCCAAGTGGTTGCCAATGCCAAGGGAAAAGGGGCCCTCCCGCCGGCAGAAGCGGCCAGGCTGCAAGGGATCGTCCAGACAGCAGCACGGCAGCAGGAGCGGCTCAAGCAGACCAAAAGCGAGCTCGAGGCAGCTGAAGCCCGCGTACACTCTCCAGCAGTACTCCAAGCTCGAGGCGGGCGCTGCGCAGCGTGCAGTACACGTGGCATACCATGAAGCAGCGGAGCTGAGAAGCGCCAACGAGGAGCGGCAAATCCCGCACGAGGTGCAGGCATTGCAGTTCGCCCTGCTAAGGACTAGAGCAGAGGAGGAGGAGATTGCGAAGGCCAGCCTGAAGGACAAGGAGGCAATGCGGGCAGAGCTCGAAGGCAGTGCTGAGCGAATAAGGTCGAGTCTCACCCGCCAAGTCATGATAGAAGAGGCGAACGCACATGACTTGCAGCTGCACACAGAGAGCCTGCGACAGGAACTGAGCAGCTACGCAGTGCAGCTGAGCGAGCAAAGGTCCAACGCAGAGGTGCAGGAGCAGGCGCTGGAGGAGGAGCTCGCCCAAGCCCTCACCTTCAGGATCGCCAGCGTGGAGGGGGCCTCCGCCATGGAAGACTTTGCCAGCCAGCAGAGGACGGGCAGGGAGGAGGCCATTCACCTCGCGCTGCAAGAAAGCCTCCAGCGCTCCAGCACGCTACACACCGAGCTAGACGCCATCGCAAAGAAGGAGCAGCAGGGCGCGTCGGAGACAGAGGAGCTAAAGCTGAGAATGCAGAGCCTGGAAGCCATTGCAGCCAGCAGGGAACGTGAACGCAAGGCCATGGTCAACCTGTACGCCGAGATGAGGCAATACGGGCAGGAGGGCTACGACTTCACCAAGAGGGCAGCTCATCACCTCGTCCAAGGGGGCCACCTCCCAACGTCCCAAGAGTCCATGGGCGACTACCAGGAGGCCGCTGACCTGTACGAGAAAGCCAGAGGAGCAGCCGAGGCAGCGACCGCCACAGCGGAGTCCCCCGCTGCGACCAATCTCCAAACTGGTGCAGCCGAGGAGCGCCCAGCCAGCAGGGGCCGCAGGCAGAGCAGCTCCTCGCCTCGGAGGCCAGCATCAACCAGGTCAGCCAGGCCAGCAGCCCGCCAGACCGACGAAGGCGATGTCCCCCTCATAGAGCGTGACAGGTCCAGGAACCCCGACAGGCCAGACCCGCACGAGGAGGCAGAAAGATACGAGCGCGAACAAGATGAGTTGCGCAGACAAGATGCTGAGGAGAAAGCACAATGGGAAGCCGTACAGATGGAGGAGGAGCTGGAGTCCGTAGTGAGGGACCACGAGGCGAAGGAGATCCAAAGGCGCTACTACGAGGAGGCCCCCTTGACCCAGTTCGGCACAGCGGGCACGCAGGACTCCCGAGCGGAGGACGACGGCTCGGAGCATGCGCCGATGACCTACCCCGCCAGCTGGCCGCCCTGGAGCCAGGATCACCCCACACCCGAGGAGGGTGAGGAAATGAGGGGGATCACGCAGCACGAGGCAGACACAGACCTGGCATCCACGTCAAGGGCTAGCTCGGTACCAGCAGAGCAAGGCGACCCTCCTACCCCGACAGCATCTCAGGTAATCTTCATCCCAGCATCGCCAGCGCCACTCAGCGAGAGGTCACCCACGCCCACAGTTCCATTCGGGCATGACGAGCAGCGCGGCCATGGAGGTGGAGAGGGAGCCGACAGCTTCGTATTGACCCCTCCCCCTGCGTCCCAGCAGAACGCGGAGGCGGCAGCGGCCAGCATCGAGAGGCAGTGCGAGGGCATCGACATCATGACGCGCCAGCACACCTCAGCCGCCGCCGCAGCTGCAGCCCTCGAAGAGGCGTTTGGACCCGCGCCCGCATTTCCAGGAGAAGACATCAGCCAGGCCCACAAGGGTCAGCGGGTAGACTCTGGAGAGTCAGGCATAGCACGTTTTCGTGGCCGAGTGGCCCGCAGGAGGGACGAGACAAGGGGCACAGCAACCCCCTCCCCTCCTGCAGCTCCTGGAGCCGAGGAGCAGGCAGCAGCAGCGCCCGCTGAATCCCCCCGAGGGGGGGAGGGGGCCTAGCAGCGCCGCCAGGCTTCAGGCCATGCGTGACAGAACTCACTGCCAGGAGGCGGCCGATGAGTCCAACAGGGCAGAGCACGACGGATGTGGGATTTCTTCACGCTCTCCGATCAGTTCGACAGCATCGATCTCCTGGGCAGCATCGGGGAGAGCAGCTGGGGCCCAAAGCCCGCAGCACGGCAGTGGGGTCCTCCACTACGATGCTCGACCTACCCACCACCAGAGGCTTGAAAGCACGGCGGGCCCTGGGGTTAATTGCGACAGCCGTCTAGTAACAAATAGACCAGCGGAGATTCCGACAGTCTCACGCACCAGATCAGGTACTCCCAGGAGTCCAGGGTCCCGAGGGGCCACAACTCCAAGCAGATGTGCTACCGCAACTGGCATTGGCAGTGGGAGGGCCACTCCCAATCGCAGCAGCCAGCATCAACAGCGGTATCAGTCACCTGGGTCTCGAGGGGCCAACGTGACACCACCACGGCCGACACGAGGGCCGCCCGCCGCGTCTCGAGGGGCGCTAGGCGGCAACCAAGGAGGCACACTACCAGGGATGAGTGATGCATCCGCCAATCTGTCAGCACTTCAGGTCACAAGCCACCAAGATGGCTGCAAGGATGCGTTACCGGCTGCCCTTGCAATCAGTGTGTCCCCCCCCGCCATCCGAGTCCACGAGATCGAGAACGTGGAAGGGGCCTTTCTCGACGGTCAAAACTCGGCTGGCAGCGAGGCAGAGGATGGCATGGAGCAGTGCTACGAGGAGCGGAGGCAAGCGCGCGCAGTCGCAGCCTTCCGATCAGCCCAGCGGAGTGCACGCCGCGCACGGCGGGCTGCGGAGAGCCACAGTCGTCGGGACAACAGCAGCATCCACAACAAGTACCATGCCCTGGCGGTGGATCCAGACCCGACGGACTCAGCAGCTCAACCAGCATCACCAGTGGCCCCAGTCCCGACGGACCCAAGCAGCTCACCACGGTCAAGCAGGTGGAAGCCAACGCTCCCCTCGGCATCAGCGCGCTCCCACCACGGCGCGGGTGCTACCAACCACCCAGACGCCCTGGATGGCGAACCTCATCGTCTACGTGACAGCATTCTCCACGCCCAATCACGCGAGCCCCTGTTCAGTCAGGCCGCGCGGGCTGGATCGGACAACTTGAACTACGATGAGGGGAGCCAAATGCCATCACTACCACCCGTGAAGCGGAGTGCGCCTCAGGCTGGGGCCATATCAATAGCCCCACCCACGCGTTCTCCGACACCACAGCCACCTCCAGCCCACAGCACCACTACACAAGGTCCCATTCTACAGGGCATGGGACTGGCGCCAGGCAACGACATCGAGTACTCCCCTGAGTACGTCAATGCAGAGAGGGCCAGGCGTGGCCGAAGGCGACGGCAGCTCCCCACCACGACAGCACGAGAAAGAGGCCAAGCGGCAGTGCTGCCAGTTCTCAGCCAAGACCCAGTAGCCGAGACCCTTCGCGGCCGAGGCCGCGTCAACGTCTGCGACGACGTCGACACTACGACCCTGCACAACATGGCAAGGATGGCGCTGGAGATGTGCCCATCGCGCGAGCTGCCGACCAGGCGGACACACATCTACACGGACGGCAGCTACAACGGCATCCCACATACAGCCGCCTGGGCAGTAGTGATTGTCGACGAGTACGACGACGGGCGCAACTCACGAGGCCCGTTCGGTTTTCGGGGTTTCATTGCTGGCAAGGTCACCGAGACCCTAGACGACATGGCAAACAACGAGAAGGTGACGGCATACACAGCTGAGCTCACGGCAGTACTTTGGGCACTAATGTGGGCCCTTGGTCAAGACACCGACGCGCCCATCGAGATCACGCCCGATGCCCTCAACGTTATCAACCTGGCCAAAGGCGAAGCCCAATGCCGCGTACATCCGAGGTCGGGGGCCGCCATTCGCACGCTTGCAGGCCTCCTCCAACGAGCCCGACCTACCCAGTGGCACCATATTAACTCGCACATCGGGCACCCTTGGAACGAGCTCGCAGATGGGATAGCAGATCAAGCTTCGGCCAGCGACCTGATGGACCCGAACATTGCAGCAGTGCAGGCGATCGCTCACAACAAGTTCCTTTCCTGGGAATGGCTGCGATCAGAGCCAGATGCGGTCAAGGCCGCATACCCGCCCTTGCGGAACAAAGACTTCATCATCGAGGCCACCCAGCCGCAGGCAGCCCCAGGAGCGATCCAGAGGCCCATCAGCACCACCACCATCAAGGCCGACCTCAACGTGAATTTGTACACCTACAACTGCAGATCACTCAAGGCCGCCGTTAGCTTCAAGTCGGGCAAAGGCAAGGCGGCCGGCAAAAGCAAGCAGAGCCTCTCCAAGGTCACGCACCTAGCAGCACAGTTTGCTGACATGGGCCTGCACGTCGTCGCCCTGCAGGAGACGCAGAGCGAAGGAGACGTCCGCAATGTAGGTGAATATGTTTGCTACTCATCAGGCCACACGCAGCAGAACAGAGGATGCGACATCTGGCTCAACGTCTCCCAACCAATCAGCGCGAGTGGGACAGCGAAGTACCTAAGTGCCAAAGACACCCTCGTCCTCCACCAGCACGACAGGCTCTTGATCATCAAGACCCGCGTTGCAGGCATAGACATGGTTATCGCATCAGCATACGCACCCCACGAAGACTCCCACGCGGCGGAGAAGAGAGACTTCTGGGAGTCTGCTCAGCGATTGTCTGCCAAGTACCGAGTGGACATCTTCATGGGGGACCTGAACGGGCGTCTTGGCGACTGCGAGTCCCCAGGAGTTGGCACCAGTGGGTACCCAGAAGCGACCAACGGCAATGGCAAGCACATCATCAGCTTCGCTGCCGACGCCAACATGGAGGTCATCAACACCACGAGGGATCCAGGCAACAACTCATATACGCATGTCGGATCGAAGGGGCAGCACCACAGGATAGACTACATCCTGCTGAGCTCCTCGATCGCCCCGTACGTCGCGAGTTGCAGCACGGAGCCAGGTCTGGGCCGAGGCACAGCTGCACAAGACCACATACCAGTACTAGCCACCCTCAAGTGGGCCGTCTGCAAGACCACCAAGGCCTCAGGACCGAGGCCCGACCTGACCAACTTGAACAATGACGTCGCCAAGGCCAGCTTCAAGGAGATTCTCAAGCAGGCCTCGATCATCCCCTGGGAGGTGGACGTCAACACCCACTGCGAGGAGGTCACCAGGGTCGTCAACGACGCGGCCATCCAGGCCTTCGGCAAGGCCGTCAAGGCAACGAGGAAGCCCTACGTCACCAAGACTACCATGGGCCTGATCCGAGCCAGGCGCCTCGCACTCCGAGTCCATCGCGCAGTGCTCAGAGGAGAAGCCCATGACGACCGACCTGGACGACTAGTAGCCCACGCCCATTCTCTTCGTGCAGGCGAAGTAGGGGACTCACTCTCCCTGTGGAGCAGAGAGCGTGGCGATGACGGTGGCACCATCCACGACATCCACCACTACGCGCACCTCCTCCTGAACTGGACAATCTCGCCCATGGTCTACGCCATGGCCATCCTTTCCTTCCTCACCAGGTCTGGGCCCATCGTTGCCGCGGCCGTCGAGAAGGACCGCAGCGCATTCCTCAGTCGGCTTGCCTCGACTGCGTCCTCCGCCTCCGCTGCGAACGACGCTGCGGCCCAGTGGAAGGCTTACCGCGACCTACTAAGGTATGGAGGGAGGAAGGCGAAGTTCCCAGCAGGAAAGCCGATGCGGCTCGACAAGGATGGAGAGGTGATCCACAACTCCCAGGACATGGCGGACCAGGAGTTTAACCATTTCGCGAAGATACAGGCGGGCAAGATCGTGACAGCGGATGATCTTGCCAACAAGTACAATCACGACAGCAAGATCAGGCCCTTCGACGGCATGCTGGATCTCTCCACGGTGATGCCCATGGCCGTCTGCCAGGCCCAGTTCGCCGCGGCCAAGGCTGGGGCGCAAGGAGGCCCCGACGGGCTCACGAACGCTGTCCTCAGGGCGGCCCCCACAGAGGCAGCGAGGCTACTGCACCCCCTCTTCACCAAGGTGGCGACCACCGTGAGAGAGCCGCTGAGCTTCAAGGGTGGAGACCTGGTCGCAATTCCCAAAGGAAAAGGCGACCCAAGGTACCTCCAAGCCTACCGCGAGATCCTCTTAAACAACGTCCTGGGCAAGCACCACCACAAATACCTAAGGACCATGCTCAACACTACCCTCGCCATAGCGCTGGAGGACATCCAGGTTGGCGGCCGGCCCAAGCGAGGGGCGGACATGGCGGTCCTAGCAGCACGCCTCTTCACAGAGAGAAGTCAGGCCCAAGGGAAGTGCTCCATGATAAGCTGCTACGACTTAAAGGAGGCCTTCTACTCGGTTGTAGTCCAGCTGGTTCATGGCATCCCAGGCGAGGAGGACGAAGTCAAGGAGGTGCTAGAGAACCTCGAGGTTCCCCTGTGGGCCCAGCCGCAACTGGAGCACCTCATGGCCAACCCAGGGATACTCGACACAGTGTTGGACGGCTCCCACTTGGCTGCCCTCATTGCAGAAGGTTACCGCAACAGGTGGACATCACACAGGTTCTCCCAGAACCTCATGGCGCCGCACAAGGGCACGAGGCCTGGCGTGCCCCTGGCCGACGCGGACTTCAATCTGCTATTCGGCCGAGTCCACCGCATGATTGACAGCTACCTTGCGCAGCGAGGGCTACGACCTCAGGGCAAGCCTCTTGACAGCAGTTTCGCATGCGACACCGACCCCACAGATGGGCCACTCCAGGAGCATGAACCTCATGGCCTATCGTTCGTCGACGACCTAACGGGCATGCACGTGTTCACCAGCCCCGACCACATTCAGCATGAGGCCACGGGGTTCTGCGAAGCCGTCTACTGCGCCGCCAGCACCTTCGGCCTCCAGCTGCAGCTCACCAAGACCAAGGTGGTGATCGACTTCAGTGGGCCTGGGAGCCGGCAAGCGCGGGCCAGTTTCTACTCCGAGGGAGTGCCGAGGATCGAGGTCCCCCTTGCAGAGAGTTGCGTCGAGGTGGTTCGTCACCACAAGCTCCTCGGGACCTACGTGACCGACAATGCATCCCCTGGGGTGGGTGTCGCAGTGAAGGTAGCCACTGCAGCGACATCCACGAGGCCCCTCCATCGCGAAGTCCACCGGCGATCAGAGCTGGCCATCAAAGACAAGGCCTACTTAGCCGACAGTGTGGTGCTATCCCAGCTACTATACAATGCGTCTACCTGGCCCGAACTCACCGCAGGCCAGGCCAGGAATTTCAACAACCAGTATATCGTCAACTACGCTGCCGCGCAAAGGATCACTTGGAAAGTACGACAGAAAAAGGAGGTCACGAACACCCAGATTCTCGAAGGGGTCGACAAGCTGCCCCCGGAGATAGTCCTGCGACTTGAGCGGCTACGACTATTTGGCAGATGCCTCAACTGGGGACCCCTGCACCTCCGCCGGCTACTTAGCCAAGCATGGGATGGTAGTTACGGCTGGGTGGCACTGCTCCGCCGCGACCTAGACTGGGTCCGCGACCACACAGGACCTGACGAGCGTGGTGGAGCATACACGCTCGAGGACTGGAAGGACTGGGCCAGAAACGACTACCAAATATACCTCAGCGCAGTAAAGAAAGCTTGCCAACGTGGCAAAGCTCGCCAGTACGATCACGACTACCAAGCTCGATGGCGGCTTCGACTCCAACGGTGGACCAACACGGAAGCCATCTCGCCCTTCCCAGACCAGCACTTCGAGCAGCAGCGCAAGTACCTATGCTACCACTGCGGACGTACCGAAGCCAGTGCAGCAGTGCTACGAGCACACATCACCAAGGACCACACCTCGTCGGGTCATCCTATCTCGTGGGCAACTGGTTCGGTCTGCTACGGATGCGGCATGGATTACCATACTACAAACAGGCTGGTCAAACACTTGCTGAGAGTGCGCAGGTGCGCTCGACATTGGCGAAAGACGCGTCCAGCAATCCTAAGCAGAGCCGAGCTGCAGCACAACCAGCAAATTGTGCGCGACCAGCAGCAGGCGAACCGAAGGGCGGGCAGGCCCATCGACTGGGCAGAGAAGCCTGCAGTCCCTGCTCGTCCTCCAGAAATACATACGGACGAGGACAGCGACGACAGCAACGGCGGCCACTACGAGAGCCTAGAGCTCCCCTTCATCGAGGAGCCACCACCGCCGCCAGCTGCTGTACCCAGGCCCAGGCCAGCTCGGACGCTATACGTGCTGCATCTATTCAGCGGCCGTCGCCGAGAGGGAGATGTTCAGGATTGGTTCGACCGCCTCAGCAGTCGGGCTTCTTGCGACATACACATGCTCAGCCTGGGCATCGCCAACGACCCGACCTTCGGCGACCTGGCATCAGAAGTCGCAGTCAGCAAGTGGCGAGACATGGCACAAGCAGGGAGAATTGCAGGAGTCATCGGCGGACCGCCGTGCGAGACCTGGAGCCGAGCGCGCCACTTGCCCCCCAATGACTGCAGGGGTCGCCCACCAAGACCCCTAAGGAGCAGCAACAGCCTGTGGGGCCTTCGCTACCTTTCCCGTCCAGAGATGGAGCAAGTAGCGACAGGCAACCGCCTATACAGGACACAGCTGGAGCTCATGTACATGTGCCTCAACCTGGGAGTCCCAGGCATGCTCGAGCACCCGTCCGAGCCCACCGAGGAGCACTTCGCCAGCTCCTGGAAGCTTCCCGAGACGCGCCACCTCCTGAACCAGCAGGGAGTCGAGCTGATCACATTCGACCAGTGCACCTGTGGAGCGCGTTCGAGGAAGTCCACAAGCCTGATGGCGGTATCCCTACCAACCCTCCGAGCAGAAATCAGTAGACTGCCTGGAAGCGGGAGGTGCTTTCACACGGCCTCCTACCACGCGGAGCTGGCAGGCATCAACGACGACGGCCAGTGGCGCACCGCGGCGGCCAAGGAGTACCCGAACAGGATGTGCCAGGCCATCGCGACCGCACTGGCGAAGCAGATAAGGTGGCGCTTTGGCGAGTCGCCTAGCGACGTCCAGGGGTGGCACATCGACGACGACGTGGCCCACTTCTTCCAGCCGCTCGACCGCTACAAGACCAGGGAGATGGGTCAGGACTACCATCGGGGCCCAGCGAGGCGGAGTGGCTCACCGACCTGGTTGGAAGAGGCAAGGGAGTGGGCCCTGCAGGACCGACCCGGCAAGGCAATCGGCAGGGCCACCACCTCGACAGGAGCTGTTCGGGCACAGGCTGACAACGCGGATCGCGACGATGCGCCCTGACGACAAGTACAAAAGAATCAGAACGCAAGTCCTGAGGAAGCCCCGAGTGCGTGGGAACACCTCAGGCTACGTCGCCAAGTTTTGCACAAGTCATCAGGACGCAAGTCCTGGGGAAGCCCCGAATGCGAGGGAACACCCCAGGCACACGTCGCCACGTTTTGCACTTTGACGGACACGGCCGCCGTTCAGTCAGGGCTCAGAGGTACCAGCCAGATTACCCCAACTGCACCAAGTACGAGTCAACGCTGCCCTGGTGAGGCAAGGATCAAACTTCGAGACGGGCTCGAAGGGCGGGGGGGCAGGACGAGGACTGCCCGCGCCTACCAGGGGGGATGGTGAGGGGCAGGGGGGGGGCAGGACGAGTACTGCCCGCGCCCCCGCGGTCCGCCCTAGCTCGCCACCCCCACCATTCCCATGGCGGAGACGGAGCTCCCGAGCGCCCAAGGGCGAAGCATAGGGCAGCGTTGACCTTCCTCATCGACAGCAAGAATCACTGGGCCTGGGGTTCGCCCCCACCGAGGGCACCGTGACCCCTAGCCATAGCGGGACGAGGTAGGGCCGCCATGAACCCTACTTGAAGTCGGTGCATGGAGGCCTGAGTGCGCCCACAATCTATTCCACCTACCAGCAACAAGCCGGCCCCCATCGACCCTAACCAGCACGACAATTACCTCATCGGCTGAGACGAGTACCAGAGCCTGAGCCCAACACAGTCAAACAGTTCTACTCGACCAGGGCGACCGAGCCAAGTACAAAGAGCCTACCATCATCGAGACAGACGACCACTGGATCAGCGATGCCGAGTTGAATGGAGTGAATGGAGCAAATGGAGAAGGCTCATCATACCGATTTCGACCAGCAGGACTGAGTCGAGTACCACAAGCTCGAGGGCGACAGAATCATGCTCTACTACAACACCAGCGACCACCGACGTGGCCCAGTGAGGGGGCTGAGTCGTCGGGGTCCCGAGGGACATAATGTGGTGTCACCCCCCTTACCCCCAGCCGCCTCATCTTCCACCTTTGGTTTCCTGGTTCGGGCCCTGTGCTGGGGGGGTAAAGGGGGTGGCACGCCAGGCGAGCCCTGGCCCACCGTGCCCCAAGGCCTGGGCACTGCCGCCCAGGACAGGTGTTGCAGCTGCCAGGCTGATATCCTGGGTGGCAGCGCACCGGGCCTGGGGGCGAGTAGTAGACCATTGGACCCCGCTCCCCTTCTTGGGGCCCGCGTTTTGGGGCCCCCGTCGGCCTGTTTCCTCCCTCCTTGCGGGGTCCTCTGGTGCCTGGCCTTTCCCATCTTTAGGGCCTCGCCCCCCCGCACTTCCTTTGCCCCGAGAGATCCTGGAGGCCCCTTCCTCTCCCCTGGGCGGGGCCCCCTCCCCCCCCCCCCCCGGCGCCGAAGGCGCCCGCGCGTCGGCCGCGTGCGCGGCTAGGCTCGGGCGCGGAGGCGCCTCGGTCGGCGGCAGCCGCCGCCGCGTTGCGCTTCAGGGATCAAACCCTTCATGGCGCTGCAAATAGCGGAAAATAGCGGAGGAGGAGGAGGAGGAGGAGGAGGAGGAGGAGGAGGAGGAGGAGAGGAGGAGGAGGAGGAGGAGGAGCGAGCAGCGAGGGGCGAGCAGCGAGCACGAGGAGGATGAGGAAGGAGGAGGAGGAGGAAGAGGAGGAGCGAGGAGCGAGGAGCGAGGAGCGAGGAGGAGGAGGAGGAGGAGGAGGAGGAGGAGGAGGAGGAGGAGGAGGTGCTCCCGCCAGGCCGTCCTCGGGACGCTCCAAGGTGCCCCCGACTCGCCGCTGCACGCCAGCCTCGGGCCTCTCGAGCTGTCTCTCTTGTGTTCGGCAGGGTCCCTCCCGAGGCCTGTAGCTCCCTGCCCCCTCCTCGAGAGAGGCCATGCAACACTCCACCACCCCAGACCCCCTCGAGTTAGGGGCCCGTACGGGCCCTCGGGACCGTCAAAAAACGACTCAGGACGAAAAGCTGGTCCCGGGGAATGGGTCGAGACCTCGGGGGGTCGCGTCATGAACAAATCATGACGTCGGGGGTCTGGGACTACCTCCGCTCCCACCAGCACTGGCTTGTCAGGTCTTACTCGCCCAACGCCTCCGGGAAAACCGGGCCTTTTCGGCGTCCGGGTGCGCAGCCAGACCCGCCTCGGGCGACGAAGCGAGTTCATTCGCAGGATACCGCGCCCAGCGGCGCTGAGGATCCAAGCGCGCTTCACTGGCATCGGCGCGATCCGACACGGCGCGTTGTCTCCAACTGCCCTGGCAGCTGCGGGGGGCGGAGCGCCAGGAGAACCATCCCCAGATCCGCGCGCCATCGCGTTGCAGCCGTTTTGCCGGGGTGCGCAGGAGGCAACAGCAGTATAAACATCAGCCGTCGGAGCTCTGCGCGGGTCACTCGAGGCGCGCGGAGCGTGCCAGGGGCGGCGCCGTGGGCGCCGCCAGCGGGGGCCCGGTTGCAGGCAAAACAAGCGGCCCGACCTGGCCAGAGTAGTGGCTATGCATTCTGCAGCTTGCTGTTCTGCCTGCGCCATCCGGCCAGAGGCACTGCAGCGGAACGCGCGAGCTCCGCCGGGTTCCAGGTGGACAGGCTCGCCGCGGCGACGCGCGGGCGGGCCTGGAACCACGGCCTGGGCCCGCGGTCGCAGGCTTGATCCGCTGCGAGCGTGCACGCACCTCTCGGCGGCGCGGGGCTCCCGCCAGCGAGGTCGCAAACCCAGCCAGCAGTCTGCACAACGCAAGCCATCCCCAGCCCCCGCTGGGGAAACCTTGGTACCAGGATGTGTGCAAGGGGGGCAGGCGAGACGCCATGATAAGTACCGTGTGGGTAAGGGAGCCATGGGGTATGGACACGGGACGAGGGAGCGGGGGGAAGAAGGGAGGGACGTACAAAAGAAGTAGGGGGATGAGGAACAGGTAACCATGAACGTTTTCAAAATCGTGGGCTCCTGCTGAACACGCCTGCCGACTAGCCCCTCGCCAGCTCGACACCTGTTACGTGAGAGGTCTGAACTGGGTGACTACGCAACTGAAGACGATGACTTAGGCCTGCTGCGCTGCGCTTGCACGGCGCAGGCCAGGCTGGATACCCTGATGCGGCACGCAACTGCGGGAGGGACCCCGCCCTCGGGCACGAGGACCCATCCCCCCCCCACGACCCCCCCTCCCACGACCAGCCGACCCCCTAGCCCCCTCCACACGACCCCCACTCCCGTGACCCGCCGGGCCCCCTCCCGCGCCCACTGCCAGGAGCCTCACTAAACAAAAGCCCCGGGGGAAAAAACCTTTTGGTCTGCGGGTCGAGAGCGAGCCTCTTCCGGTTGAGAGCTAGGCGGGCCGCGCAAAGCACAAACTGGGGAGATAGGCCGGGGGAAGAAGCAGGCGGTGTCCGTGGCCAGCCGGCGCCACAGGAGCAGAAGCAGGGGGAGGTCGAGGGCGGCAGCCCCCGGAGGAACGAGCAGACGGAGGCAGCCGGCGCTGGGGAGGCGGGGGGGGCGAGGAGGAGGAGGAGAAGGAGGAGGAGGAGGAGGAGGAGGAGGAGGAGGACGAGACAGGAGACAAGGAGGAGGAGGAGAGAGGAGGAGAGGAGGAGGAGGGAGGAGGGAGGAGGAGGAGGGAGGAGGGAGGAGGGAGGAGGGAGGAGGGAGGAGGGGGAGGAGGGAGGAGGGAGGAGGGAGGAGGAGGAGGAGGAGGAAGAAGGGGGGGGGAGGAGTGGGCGGAGTGCAGCGGCGGGAAGCGCGAAGAGGGAGCGCGAGCCGCGCGCGGAGCCGCGCGACGCGCCGCGGGCCCTCCCGAAGGGGATGCTGCGCCCAGCTCACGCCAACGGTGCGAGGTGTGAGGGCAAGACTGTATGCGTCGTCCTCCTCTCATCGAGATCTTCCGCTCCTCCTCGCTCTCCTCCTCCTCCTCCTCCTCCTCCTCTTCCTCCTCCTCTCTCCCTCCTCCAACCTCCCTCCTGCCCTTTCCCTCCCTCGCCGTCGCCATTCTCCTCCTCTGCCATCACAGCCACCTCGTTTTCCTCCGCGTAGCTCTCCCTCGTCTTCCTTGTCCTCGACCTCGTCCTCCTGTTCACATCCTCGGCCCCCTCCAGCTCATTGCCCCTCCGCACCCTCGTCCCCTCATCTCTCCTCCTCCTCCTCTCCTCCTCCTCCTCCTCCTCTCCTCCTCCTCCTCCTCCTCCTCCTCCTCCTCCCCTCCTCCTCCTCCTACCCCTCCTACCCCTCCTACCCCTCCCACCCCTCCTACCCTCCTCCTCCTCCTCCTCCTCCTCCTCCTCCTCCTCCTCCTCCTCCTCCTCCGTGCTCGAGGTTGCGGGCCCCAAGCTTTTGGCCCAAGGGGACCTCGCGGGGCTCTGGGACCTGGTCATCTCGGGGATTGAGTTCGAGCTGTCCTCTAGGTGGGACCGCATCGGTGCTTGTGCGTCTGGCTTCTTGGGGAGAGCGGGCCCGCCCAGGACTAAGTGGAAGAAGCTTGCGTGGGCCCCCCCCAAGACTCGCACCTATAAGGACCCCAACACCAAGGCTTGGGCCACGGCGTTGCGCTGGGCAAAGCACCTCGGCAAATGTAGGCAGTTTCTCACCAAGGAGGTTGCAGGCCTCCAGGAGTGTGCAGCCATGTGCGAGCTTACTCCCAACCAGCACGTTAAGCTTCTGCGTGCGCTGGCCGATGCTTCCAATTTCATGATAAAAGTTGGAGCGTGTAAAAAGGTGCTCGCTAGGCTCGACGATCGCACGTCTGGGTTCTTTCGGTCAGGGTTTGCCGTCCTGGCCAGAGCTGACTTTGCCGAATGCCTTACGCATGTGTATCTCACCGCCAAGGCCAAGATCGGGGCTGCCGAAGCCGCCGCGAGCTCAGCTTGGCTGACCTGGGCCCGAGAAGCTTTTCAGAGAGGAGCGTCTCAGGCCCATAGGTTCAGCAAGGTGCGAGCGGTCCAGGAGGTCGTTGCTGCTGGTTCCAAGTCCCAACCCTTCCAGCTCGCTGATCAAGAGATGCAGCCATGGGCTGACATCTGGATGACCCACGACTGCTCCAAGCTTCCGCTCCCCGATGGGGCCCACGCCTGGCCCTCGCTCCCTTGCATCACTGCCTTAGAGGTTGAGGATTGCATCCAGCAATTTAAGATCAACACGGCGGCAGGCCCTTCGCGGATTGCGCCCAGGGCTCTGCTCCACCTCAGCCAAGGAGCCTACGAAGGCATAGCGTTTTTGTTCAACGGATGTGAGGCCCAGCTAGCTTGGCCCAACGATCGAGTTTGGACGGAAATGGTGCGTTTGGCCAAGCCTGACGGGGGAGTCCGCTTGATAGCCCTAATTAACACGCTCTGCCGAGTCTGGGGCAAACTCAGGAAGCCTGTAACTTGTAGCTGGCAGGAGTTGCATGGTTGTCTCGAGATCTGGGGCACCAGGAAGCGGCATAGCTCCACGGACAGCGCTTTCGCGCACAACCTGTCCGCAGAGTTAGCGTCCCTGCTCGGCGAAATCTCTATTTCAGTTTTGCTTGATATGATCAAGTGCTTCGAAATGGTTCACCCTGCCCAACTCATCAAGGAGGCAGAGGCTGTCAGCTTTCCGCCACGCCTCGTGTGGATGCTTGTGGGATTGTACAGGCAGCCACGGCGTCTGAAGGCATTCGGAAGCCTTTCCGAGTCCCTCGAGGTTTTCCAAGGCATCCTAGCTGGATGCAGCCATGCTACAGGTATGCTGTTCGTGCTGACTTTTCGGGCGCTCAAGCGCCTCAACCAGATTGCCCCGTGTGTGACGCCGCGTGCGCTAGTAGATGACGTGTCGCTGCAGCTGGTCGCCACGACGCCTGACACCTTGCCGCAGCTAGAGAAGGCAGTACGGATTTTCAAGTACGACGCCCAGGTATTAGGGCTGAACACCCAGCCCAAGAAGTCTGGTATCGTGGCGGCCTCGGGAAGGTCCAAGAGGTTGTTTCGGCACGGAGCGGCGCAGCTCAAACTGCAGTTTCGGCCATGGATGCGCAACCTCGGGCATGAGTTAGCTGGTGGCAAAGTGTTGAGGCTCCAGGAGAAGGCACGCCTCAAGTCTCTGAAGCAGCGCCGCCGCAAGTACATGGCGCTGCGCAGCGCCGTTGGGCGCAAGGCTTCGCTCTTGTTCAGAACGGGAGCGCTACCAGCTGCTGGGCATGGTGGCGGTGTCTCTGGAGTTTCTGACGTTTCTCTTCGATATTTCAGACAGTTGGCCTCGACCCTCGCCGGGGGTAAAAAGCATGGTGGAGTCACAGCGTATCTCCTCGCTCACCGCGACCCCTACTACGATCCCATATTCGACTGCACGCTCAGCATATGCCTCCGCTACGCGGCCTGGATCTGGGACAGCAGAGTTTGTCTTGGGAGGGCCCAGCGGGCCTGGGCCCAACTACGTCTTTACTTCGACGACAACCCGACGTGGCAGATAGCGAAGGGGCCCATGTCGGCCTGCTGGCTTTCCCTTCATCGTATCGGCTGGGCCATGACCAGCGCCCACACGTTCCTCTCGGACACTAATATCACGATAAACTTAGTCACGACTTGCCCGTACGACGTCAAGCTATACATGATAGAAGGTATTCAGAGGTGGCAACATCGTCGGCTGCTACATCACATGCCCACGTCCCAGGGCACCGAGCAGGTCTGGCACAGAGCGTTGAGAGGAGGTCTTCAAGCGATCCGGTGTCCGCGGCAACTTGGAGCTCTCTCGGCGGTCATGGCTGATGTTATTCCTCTTCCAGGTGTGCGTGCTTCCCAGGGTTACCGCATAAGCCCTGAATGTCGTGTGTGTCAGGCTCCCCTGGGCTCCTACGGGCACATCTGGTACGACTGTGTAGGCTTGGTCTTGGACGGAGTGGACGCACTTGGCGAGCAGGTCCCCGACGAGATTCTGAGCCATAGGAATGCTCTAATTAATTCATGTCTAGACATCTTGGGGAACCCACAGACCGAAACCACTTATCTCACCTATGGGGTCCCCTCGCTCTCTGTGGCTTTGGAGCCCCCCGAGGCCCACCCTCAGGTCCAGTTCTGGGGGAACGTTTCAGGCCCGTGGGGGCCCACCTGTTTCGTCGATGGGAGCTGCCTCCAGTCAAGTCTCCCTGAGGTTGCTCGGGCTGGCTGGGCAGCTGTCCAATTAAATCAAGATTTAATTCCAGTTCGTGCCGTCTTCGGCGCATTGCCTGGCGTGCGCCAGACCATCGGACGTGCGGAGCGGTGGTCGATACGTCAGGCACTGCACTTTGCGCCTGCGGTGGAAAAAATTGTGTCCGACCTGCAGGCCAGCGTTCGGGAAGGCAACGCTTGGGACCCAGAGCAGGCTGCTGGTCTAGCCAAGCACGCGTCGATTTGGGCGGACATTTTCAGGAACCAGCAGCACGATCCCCCCCAATTTGTTTGGTGCCCCGCCCACCTTTCGCTCGACGATGCTGTAGAAAAAGGCGTCTCTCTTGAGCACTGGGCGGGGAACCTATGGGCTGATTTTTTCGCGAAGCTCGGCTCGGCGTCCCACAGTTACGCGGATGGATTCTGTAAGGCCTTGGCGGGGGAATATAGGTATCATAAGTCCACTCTTAGGTTCTTGGCATGGGCTGCTCAAAGGCTGTTGCAGTCTCAAGCGTGGTCTGGTGATCCTGATGTGCCTCTGGTTTCCTCGTGCCTCCCTCTTCCCCCTAAGTTGTCGATCACCAGTCACGAGATCTGGCACAGCCAGAAGGTCGCCACTTGGAGGTGCCGTGTATGTGGAAGATTTGCTCGCAGCCAGTCTTCTCTCAAAGCAATGCTCACACAGAGGGCCACTCGTGATTGCATGGCCAGCCCCGTACAGCTCCTGGCTGCGTCTGAATGGTGGAATGCTCATGCGACTGACCAGGGGTTTGCCCTGATGCGTTCCGAGGCTGTGCAGCTGGCTATGGAAGCCTCCCAGAGAGAGGCTGAGCTGCACTGCCAGACCGAGGGGCCCGACGATCTGGGGGTGTTGGGCCCGCCGACTCCTGAGCTCCCCTCGGGGCCCAGTGGGCCCGACAGGTTCCCTCAATTTTCGGCCCTCGGTCACGATGTGTTTAAAAATGGTGATTATTTTTGCTGCCGCAAGTGCGGTGGAAACGGCACTCTTGGCAATTTTGTGAAGTTAGCCGCCAGATGTGTTGGATTCTCCGCCGTGGCCTCTACGAAGGCGAACCAGCGAATGGCTATTCGGAGGATTGAGGCCGGCCTGCATCCGAAGACTGGCGCGAAGCTTTCCGCCCCCTCGGCTGGTCGGCCGTGCAGGCGTGAAGATAGCCACGTTGGCCCCACGGATGCGGGCAGGCCCGCCTCTTGCGTGCAGGAAGGACGCGACGATAATCGTGCTCCCTCTCCTGCCGCCTCCCGCCCCGACGAGGGCCCTTCCTCCTCTCGCTTGTCCTTGGGCTCTGGGGCCGAGGGTGCGAAGGGCGAAGCTACTCGTTTAGTGACCTTGAGCGAGGTCCAGAGGCTGTCCCATTTTCGGACTGCCCTTCGGCCACTTGAGGTGGCCCGTGACCCTAGGCCCGAGACTGGAGACGGATCCAGCTCGGGCTCCGACTAATCTCGTTTAGTTTTTTTTTGGGCCCTCCCCCCCCGCCGCCGCCGCCGCGCCGCCATCGCTGCACATCGTCTCCAATTTCGACAAGACTGTGCACTGCGAGGCGGGCGCGCGCGCCGCCGCGAGGGTAGGGAGGGGCCTCGAGTTCCTTAGACATCGGACCCCCTGCTCGGCACTCGTGCCTTGCAGGGGGCACAGCGGTCTGCGCCTCCTCCTCCTCCTCCTCCTCCTCCTCCTCATCTCCTCCTTCTCCTCCTCCTCCTCCTCCTCCCTCCTCCCTCTCCCCTCTCCTCCTCCTCCTCCTAACTCCTCCTCCCTCCTCCTCCTCCTCGCCTCCTCCTCCTCCTCCTCCTCTCCTGCCCCCCCTCCGATCCTCCTCCTGCTCCTCCTCCTCCTCCTACCTCCTTCCTCTCCTCCTCTCCTCCTCCTCACCTCCCACTCCCCCTCCTCCCTACTCCTCCCCTTCCTCCTCTCTCCTACTCCTCCTCTTCCCCTCCCCCCTCCCACCCCTCTCCTTCCTTCCTCATCTTCCTCCCCTCCTCCTCATCCTCCTCCTTCCTCCTCGTTCCTCTTCCGCCAAGTCCTCCGTCCTCATCCTACTCCTCTCCTCCTCCTCCTCTGCCTCTCCCTCCTCCTCCTCTCCTCATCCTCCTCCTCCGTCCTCCGTCCTCCTCCTCCTCCTCCTCCTCCTCCTCCAACTCCTCAAACCTTATCTCCGTCCTCCTGGCTTCCCCCTCCGCCCGGGGGCCGCGCTGCTGGTCCAGCATCGCGAGCAGCTTCTTGACGTGCGGCCGCAGCTTGGCGCTTCTGCGGCGGGGAGGGGGGGCGGCTCATCGCGGCGACCTCTGAGCCACCGCTGCCTCCAGAGCGGGCCCTGGATAGAGGGCAGAAAACCCACCCGATAACAACCACCCCGACACGCGAAACGAGGAATCGAACAGGGCAGGACTGTTTAGTAAACGCCCAGGGCCGTTAGTAAACGCAAATTGTCGGGTCTGGGTGGTTTTTCCTCCTTTGACTGGAGGAAAGGGACCCTTCGAGCAGGGTACCGACTGCAACATAGATGTATCCCCCAACTCGATGTTGCCGTCGATATCCACGAAGGGTGTGTGTGTGTGTGTCATACTCGTATATATTCAAGCATGTGACCGTCCTTTTCGTCGTAGATCCGGCGATCAAGATGAACCACCTGGGGTAAATCAATTCCCTTGGAACCCCGAGACGGTGCGGTGACAGACCGTGCGGCGGTGACCTCGAAAAATCCCCCAGGACCTCGCCGCACGGTCCGCCAACGCACGGCCTCGGGACCTCGGCTGCCCCCGCCGCCCGAGACGTCCTCGGAGAGCGACCCGAGCCCCAACGCCGTGCGGCAACCCCGAAGCCCCACCGGCTCACCACGCGCCCCTCCTCCTCCTCCTCCTCCTCCTCCTCCTCCTCCTCCTCCTCTTGCTCCTCACCTTTCCCCTCCCCCCGTTCTGGGGGGCCCCCGGAACTCCGCTCCGCCGTCGCTGTCCCCCTGCTCGAGCCCCGGAGCTGTCTCGCCGTCCTCGGGCCCTCGGGGCCCTCGGCGGGCCCTGGGATCGAGTCGGGCGTGTCCCCCCTACCCAGACCCCCTCGAGTCAAGAAAAAATCACGACGCGAGGTTTTTCTCAATTTTCGGCCTCACGGGGCCCTTACCGGCCCTCAGGCCCGTCAAAAAACGGCCCAGGACGAAAAGCCGATCCCGGGGAAGGGGTCCAGACCTTTGGGATCGACGTCATGAAAAAATCACGACGTTGGGGGTCTGGCTACGGGGGGATGCCCGACGAAAAATCAAAGACCCTCCAAAAATACTCCCAAATGGTCCCAAAATAATGCCCCACAAATAAGCCCCAGACTGTTTTTTCCCCATTTTTGAAGTGCTCCTCCTGTGGAGGGACGGGCCCGACTTCACCCTGGGACCGTCAGGGGACGGCTCGGGATGAAGGAGCGGGCCCTGGACAAAAGACAGGCCCGGCCTCCGGGACCCGCTTCTCCTCAGGGCGCCCCTGCCTCCCCGGCGACTGTCGTCGACGCCGCCGCTCTTGGACGCGCACCGCTGCTTGAGGCGCTCGGCTGCAAGATCTGCGCTGCCGTGCGCGATCCGATGGGACATCACCGCGCCCGTCGCCGTCGGCACCGCCCAGTCTGCACTCCGGCGCCCTGGCATCTCCCGTCCTCGGCGTCGCGCGGTGAATCAGGGCGCCGCTCTCTCCGAAGGCCTCTCTGGGCGGGCTCGACAATGCGGCAGGGGGAACGTGTGCGTCTCCGCGAAAACTGCGGGGTGGATTCCGGGGCGCAATCTCGCGGGTACACGGCCGCACGGACACGTTCCGCGCGGGGCATCCGCGAGCGAAAACGCCCCGCACACGCGGGTTCGCGGCCCGGGGGCCCGGCCCACGAGGCCGCGGATACGGAAGATGTGCTTCGCCCACGACGAGACGCTGGCGCAGCACGGATGAGCTGGCCATCCTCTGGGAGGTTGGCAGCACCACCGACCCTGCGGAGAGCGCAGCCTGCCGGATCGCCAGTCCGATTCGAGTCCGCATCGGGTCTTCGGGAGGCGGGGGGGGGGTCTCCCTGCCGTGGACGTGCACGACGACGAGGCGGTGCACCACGGCCCGAGAGGCACTCGGGAAGCATCGGCGGGCAAGCATGGGCACGTAAGGCCGCGGTGCAACGCATCACTCGGCGAAGCATTGCAAAAAATAAGGATTGCAAAAAAGTGTTTTTTTGGCAATCCAGGGTTTTTTTTGCAATCCTTCGGGTTTGTTTTGCAATCCTTCGTTCAAGGGTTTTTTTTTGCAATCGGTTTTTTTTTGCAATCCTTCACTCTGAAGGGGAGCTGGAATGCTTCGCATCAGGAGGGCGTCAGCCAGCGAATCTGCACGGCCATATAGGCGGGCCATGCGTGAGCCAGAACAGCGATCGAGCAGTGAGCAGAAGAGGACGGAGATGAGGAGAGGCAGCGGAAGGTCCACTGCTCGAGCTCTTCAGGCTGGGTTGGGATCTGTCGCGAATGTTGTCCCCGACCCTCCCTACTCCTCCTCGAGGTTTGGCAAGGCGGGGCATTCTTGTTAAAGACAATACATCGAAGAGCTGGATACTCAATGCTCTCCTGCTTCCTCTTGTTTCTCCTCGTCCTGCTCCTCCTCCTCCTCACTTCGCCCTCTGCCCTCATGCTTCCTCCTCCTTCCTCAAGCTCCTTCCTCACATGCCCCACTTCCCCTTCCCCCGCCTCCCTACCCATCGGTCGGAAGAAGTAGGTAGAAACACGAAGTAGGAAGGCGTTGGAAATAGATTGGGTTTCCGCACGCCTCCTGAAGAGGGAGGAAGAGGGAAAACCACTCGACTCTTGAAGTAGGAAGGCGCTGAAAGTAGATTGAAATCTGGGAATCCAAAAATACCTACTTTCAACGACCGATGGGTACGCCTCCTTCCCCTGTCTCTTGCTTCCATTCCCCTGCATCCTCCCGCCGCTCCCGTGGCGTGCCGCGGCGGCGGCCCCGGCAACACGGGTTTGCCTTGCAGGCGGATGGCGTGTCGCTCCGCGCTTGG